GAGAATCCCAAAGGTGCTGAAAAGGCATGCGTACAAGTCCTTCAAGGTTGAAACAGAAAGCAAACAAGTCAAATGGATCTAGGAAACCTATAGTATAAAACCATTTGGTAAAAGCCAAAATAGGTTAGAAACCCAAGGGTGTTGATTAAACTCAGGGTAAAAAACTGGCAAAAGCTAAGTAGGTTAGAAACCCAATGGTTCCGACTAAACTCAAGGTATAAAACTATTGGCGAAAGCCAAATAGGTTAGAAACCGAAGAGTAAACCCTGGGGTATAAAACTATGGGCAAAAGCCAAACAAGTTAGAAACTCAAGGGTTGTACCACTGGCCCAACTAAAAGTTATATCCCAGGGCAAAAATCTAATGGTTAAAAACTAACCGTATAGCATAGCCCAAGAGACTTAATTGCAACTAACTATGTGAAAATAGTATGGCGCTAGGAAGACCAGCCATGAGACAACTGACAACGAAAAAAAGGGTATCGATTGGACTCATGGTATAAAATCATTATTGAAAGCCAAATAGGTTGGAATCCCAAGAGTAAACCCTCGGGTATAAAACCATGGGCAAAATCAAAATAGGTTAGAAACCCAAGGGTGGTACAGCTAGCCCAACTAAAAGTTAGATCCCAAGGCAAAAATCTAAACAGTTTAAACTAACTGTATAGTAGAGCCCTAGAGACTTGACTAGGGCAACTACGACAAAAGGGTATGGGGGCTAAGAAGATCAGCCCGTGAGATGACAACCAACAAACGACAAGAGAATAAAGGGACTATTCCGCAAAACAGTCATTCATGGAACGGTCAATCGACAAAGTACTCTCAATATAGAAGACCTAACATTTTGCCTTCTATGTTGAGAGTGGGGGCTACTGTTATAGGAAAATAAGTGAGATCCAGCTAGGCGATAGGGGACCGGAAGAAAGCCAAGAAATGGGCACGAACCAAGAAAGGGGGTCGGCACCTGACGACCCGAGCTGGCCCTCGCCCGACCAGTGGTCGACGCCGAGCAATTCTCGGCCCCCCCAGTTGAGAACCCTAACGGTTCATCCCAAACCATTCCACCTCGACTTTCGATTTGACCTTTTAAGCCCATAATGAAACGAACGGACCTAGCATGAGGTTCACTCCATCTAGATCTCCTGAGTGCATTAGGATTCAACTTATGTAATTCCTAAAGGGAATAGGATTCAACTGATATAAATCCTGAAGGGATTAGAATTCAACTTCTATAAATAGGAGAGTAAGCTAAACCCTAAATGTATGCTCACAACACCCTACACTTTATACTCAACTCCTCCGATTTTAACTTAAGCATCGGAGCCCATGTGGCTACAGCCACACTAGTTTTAGTGCTATTCTATTTTGCAGTTCTCATCGATGCCTTTACTCTAGAAAATTGGTGCGAATTTGACGAGATCGTAGGATGCCAAATTTCTGCATCAACAATAAAAATTTTTATTTATTGATAGTTCTAGTTTTTCGAATAATTCATAGTGAAGAGCTTGAAAAGACGATTCCAACACATTTTTAATTACTCAAATCAGATATCAAATGAGAAAGTTATGGCCAAATGAAGATTGGAAAAAGAAATCTTAGGTGGCGGATCATGATGTAAGAGCAATTAATAGCACGAGCATAAACATCACTCTGAACAAGATGTAAAATAACTAAAGCTGACGATAAACACCAACACTACCATGGATTCTGGTATTACGTTCTCTCCAAATATGAGATATAGATGTAGCCAAGCAATATTTCATACTCTACATTTAGGTGACCGACCTATACTAATATGATAGGTACACTCTAACTCTTTACCCCAAAGGCAAACACGACCGGTGTGGGAGCCTGCCAAAGCAATCATATCACCTCAGACAAATTTGCTAAACATACCATCGAAGAAAATGAGTCCCAAATAAGTTTCGTTACAGTTGCCTCATTCCAAGAGATTAGGTCCTCCAGGGAAACCTAGACCAAAAGCTTTGGCTCTTCTCTAGCATCCTCCTTCCTCTTCCAAAGAAAAGAATGAAAAATAATATCATCCATCTTAGGAATAACCTACGCCAGCAAGAAAAAGACGCTAACCCAATACACATGAAAACTTTGAAGAACCAGATCTAATCAATTGACGTCTCCTCAACATATGAAAGCATACGATTTGATCAACTACAAACTTTTGTCGCAATATATACGCTCTATCAAGGGCTTATAATCCCTATAATAAAGCTGAGAGGAGATCAAGGGAAGACTATATACAGAAGAGGATAGGTAAGGTTAAACATATAAAGACACTCATCTCTTCTATCTCCTCCTAAGACATACCCACACAGAATAACAAACTTTTTCTCGAAAACTAGCAGCAAGTCTTGATAAGGACTCAAAAAGAGGAGTTTCCTCACAAAAGAAAGCCACCGCCAATCATCTTACAAAAAATCTTCAAATAATTTTCAAAACAAAGTAAAATACGTTCATATTTAGGGTGAAAACCAAAATCCCCACACGTTTTATTCGGCATAAGAGATAACACCTTCGATTCATTAACGCAGCCCTCTTCTCATTCTCGTGTCATATATGTAAAGTAGAGATGACAATGGTATGGACGAGAGTGGATGTTCTCTCTCATTCTTGTTCTCGTGAAAATTTTTAGTCAACCGTCTACACCTCATTACTCGGTCCAAGAATTGAAGTCCAAATTAAAGAATCCTTATTTTGGGAAGAAGATATTCTCAAAAAAAAAAAAAATACCGGTTTTATAATTAATTTTAATTATTATGAGTATGAGAATTTAAAAAATAAAAAAGTGTAATAAAATATATATGAATTATTTTTAGAATTAAATAATTAGTTTTAAAAAATATTTAATATTTTATACACAATTTAATAAATATGTCAATAAAATGTATATTAATTATTTTAAAAATAGAATTGGGGGTTGGGGACATGCATTTCCTATTTTTTTGGACTGGGAACAACTATACTGATTTTTTTCCCCTAATTTAGAGACATGCAACTAACTTTTTGAAAGATAAATTTTAGAGAGATAAAGAAAAATATTTAGAAAAAATTAGTGAAAGAAAAGTTTACAAAAAGAGAAAAATTTGAGAAAAAGAGTAAAGTTATAAAATATATAAAGAAAAAAATTATAGTGGGAGGAAAATTTGGAGATAAAAATAAGATTCGAAATATATTTTTTAGAGAAAATAAATAAATACAAARACAAATAAAAGTTATAGTGAAATAAAATTGAATGAGAAAAGAAGATATAATTTTCAGAGAAAAAATAGATTATGAAGAGAGAAAAATTATAAAAGATGAAATTTTGGAGAGGAAGAAAAGTTTTGAAAAATTTTAAATTTTTAGAGAGAGAAATGAGAGTGATATGTTAAAATAAAAATACGTTTTACATGAAAATTTTGGAGAAATAGACAAATAATAATAAATAGTTAAAATATTAAAATTTTAGAAAGAGAAAAAAAAATTTAGGGAGATATTTATGAAGAAAAAAGTTTTAGAGCGAAAAAGAATGGTTATAAATAAATATATAAAGAAAAAAAAAAAGTTATCATAAGAAAAATGAAAATTTGAAAAACAGAAATATGTTTTCAGAAGATACTTTTTTAAATTTACATGTAGTTTCAAACTTTTTGAGAGTAATTTTATAAGAGTTTGTGAGTTTTATTTCCATGCTACATGTTGTACTAAAAATGATATTTAGAGTGAGAATTCACGATTGGTGTTTGAGGAAATTTTTTTTTAAGTGATTACTCCTATAAATGCACCTATACACCTGAATTATTGATGAATTAATTTCCTAAAAGCATTTAAGTGCTTTTTAGTACATTTATAATTTCCAAAATTACTTATAATTATAATTTTGATAAGTATTTTTAATAGGCTAAAAATATTTTACACTTCTCAAAAATCAATTTAAATTGGTATTCCCTCTTAAAAGTATTTTTATGAAAATTTTCAAGATAAGTTAGCTATGTAACAAAACACCATGAAAATTTAGAAAAGTGGTTTCAATGGGCAAAATTACTTTAAAGTCTGCTTTTAGAAGTAGTTATGGTATGTTGGTAGGTTTGATAGTGATTTTAGAATAAGTGTTAAATCATTGAAAGGAACTCATTTCTCATATACCAAACATACCAATAATCATTTTCTCAAAAGGCATAGTAGAAATGCATTCCATCCATTTATTAGAGTGCAATAATCAAAGCCAAATCCTTTCAATTTGTAAGCAATTACAAAGGACATGAATAGATGTATGTGACATCTTTTATAAATATCTTCATCCACAAGGTGCCTCTTCCTTTCAAAATTAGTTAGGATTTTAGGCATAACCACATAATTCTTCTAGTATGTTTCTTTACAAAAAGAAAATAGAAATTAGATTTGACATATGATTAAATTTTTGGAGTATATATCTCGAAATAGTTAGTTTTAAAATTATATTTTTAATTTTTAATTTCTAGACGTGTTTCGATCTAATTTTTAGATGGGTTGAACCTAGGGAAAATGAGTTCCCTTAACTGCTAAACTGTACTCTATTTGTAAAATTCGATTTAATTTTTTTTGTTAGAAGAAGCAAAATTCCATTTAATTTATGTAATATTTGTAATAATATATGCAGCACTAGCACTTTAGTATAAGTTTGAATTTAAGAAAAATTTTCTAAAATACAAAATGAAAATTTAACACTAATGACAAAATAAATATTTTTTAGAAATTTTAGAAATCAAAGTGAACCTCAAAATAAGTTCAAAATTCAACAACGATTTTTAAATCGAAACAATACTAGACCCATTTAACATATCTTTAAAAGAAAGAAAATTTTGAGTTCAAATTAACTTCTCCTCGAGAGTTCATATTAGTTCAATTATGTTGAGTTTTGGCTTCTTCTTCTTGAAGCATGTTTCCTGGACATCTTCCAAGAAAAATGAAAAGAAATTATAAAAGTAAAATCTCAATTTATTGCAGTGGAATGTTCTTCCCGTATAAAAATAATATTTACTTCCTTATGCATAAAGTTGTTACAAAGAATCAGATGGTTATCACAAAATATATTCTCTCTGTGTTTTTTGAGTATCCAAAAAAAGGAAAAGAAAATGAACAATTACTTTTACATACAACAAATTTTGATATGTGGGGAATGTATAGCTGGTCAGAAAAATTGCATAGTTCCACAAGTTCTGGCCATCGATTTTTACAGGAAGTATACGATTGATCTTGTTGCCCGATCGACTCCATGATCGGAAAAAAAATTACAGTTTCCAGCTTTCTCTATTGCTATGGCTTCTTGGCCTGCAGCATCAAAGTTCATGGAACTGTGAGTTGGTTACAGTTGATATCTTTCTCAAAGTTCAGGGACAAAATAGAAGGATTACCTTTTTTAGATATTTCTTGTGAAGCTTCATTGCCCCAGTGCAAGCTTTTTTGGCATCCAGATTTCCAGTCATGTCATTTAATATCTGTCAGAGAAGGAATTAGAAACATGAGAGTCCTTGAAACCGATGGATGCAACGACATCGACTCATACTCCTTGATTGCCTATCATTCTTGGTCGTTTCTCATGCTTGAGTTCTATTTAATGTATTATCTTTCTACCCTAAACTAGTTGAAGGTTCCCAACAGGTCAAGTTATGAGATCGAGAAACGAACCTTCACAACGTCGTCCAGACCCCGAGCTTCAGTGAGTAGCTTCGTGCTCTTATCTTTCAAGACACTAGCAACAAGGAAAACAGAGATAGGAAGGGGGGCTTGTGAGTTCTTTGCCTTCAAGTTTTCCCTCTCGTATTTCCCACACTGACGTATCGATTTTGCTTTTCCTTTCGATCCCTCGGCTTTCTCATTGAGCAGATCAGGTTCTTCATAAATTGCGAATAGATCAGGATCATATTCCAGGGCCCACATCATCTGTTGCAACACCAAAAGTGTAAGAACTTTTTTACAGTTTATGGATGTCATCTGCAAGCCAATCTTGTGTGCAAGAACATTTATAAACTTAAGAAGCAACTTAGGATGTTGCCTAATCTTCTATGTCTTAACCCTTCGGTTCGGCAAGATGAAAATGCGTAAAACGTAATGAGAGAACTTTTAATGGTAGATTTTTGCTTGGAGCTCTAGACAGTATAACCTTGCACTGCCTTCAGAGTTATGCCATTATCATTTTTATGTGGGGATATGCTTTCAACGTTTATTTATCGACCGATAGTAAATTTTAAAAACAAAAAACAAATTTTAAAAACAAAAAACAGAAAACGAAAAGTACCTCCCAGAGATATAAAGAATCGCAAAAGGAAAACTCGCGACGGAACAAAACCATAAGCATCCTGAAAGCAAACAGATAATCTCCACCGCCAAGTGTCTCTGTGTTCATAAAAGGAATGCTTCATTGTTACTTTCTAACAGAGCAGACGACAAGAATGAAAAAGAACATAATGTGCAAACACCATCAGAAGATAAATCATTAAAACTAAATAATCCAATTCTGATCAACAGAAAGCCAGACTATGTGCTCGAAAAGTGAAGGACCGACCCACGTCTAACAGGAAAAAAAGCATGGAATTTCTCTCTAGTCTATCACCAGATGACAATACTTCTAGTGTAATATCTCATAAATCTGAAGATCTATATGGAACATATGTCTATGGCAATACCCAAGTGTTGATGAAGTTTTGGATCAATGACTTGTGTGATTGCAGCCAAGTTATTGAGTTGAGTTTCCACACCCACAGAGCTATCAGTGCATCTGAAATTTCCTCGCTACAAAGTTTCAAATAGAATAATACGTCATGAGAAATCCAAGAATTCAAATATAATTAACTTACATGTAAAGGAGATTGATATCAAATGCAAAGCGTCACAAAAATAAAGTTACTCAAGTAGAAGAAAGGTAAGTACCAATCTGCGCATCAAACGTTCAAAGCACCAAAATGCATCGCCTTCATCTTCAAGAAGCATTATCATGGGGGAACAAAGATCACTCATTCCTACTCAGAAATATTCATAAAGTCAGGTTCAGAACATGAATTTTTTCCAGTGCAATAGAATAAATAATTTCATGCCAGAGTTCTCAAGGAGTAAAATAATGAGATGATTTCATGGCCGTAGGGAGCTGAGACCCGTAATCGATAATCTAAAACACTAATCTCGATTTCTCAGATGAGAAAAAGCTCTATTATAATTAGCCCACCTTGACAGTAGCCGACATCTTTATCTATCCAGGCATAGACCGCGAGAATATCCCAAAGTTTTGACAAGTTTTCTTGCTTTTCATAGAATACCAATGTTCTGTCAGTCCGAACCACATCAAGACCTAGCATAAATATTTATAGTAAATGGTAAAATTCAGAAAAAATTATAAGAAAGTGCAAACTGAGTTATGTCACAACCATTATCATAGAGTTATGTCACAAGTGTGTGAAATAATAAAATCTCAAATATGATATCATTACTCTTAACCCACAGGTTTACCAAGATACTAAGACCACTACCCCAAGCAATTAAAGCGTCGAAATTTGACCAATGTGTGTGTTGTGTTGTGTGTGTGGATAAAGCTCCTACCAACCTATCTGATGTAAAGTAAGCATCCACTGAATTATTTTCTCATCCTTCACAGTTTCCATATTACTAGCTGTTGCGCGTGAACCATCGGAATTGACATCACCGGTGCTAGGATCTTGAGGTACAGCCGGACCCGTTTCTGGATTTGTTTCCAAAAGTACAAGGGGATCGTGAATAGGCTGACCATCCTCTGTGATTACAGGAGCGGTGATATATCTACCACTTCCAACGACAGGAAACATTTGTCGACAGTCTTCCTTCCATGTGGCATACTCTATCCTGCAAGTTGAAAAGTTCATATCTAAGCATTCTTCTAATTTTAAAAAGAGGTGCAACAAATACGATAAATATCCCGGTCAATGAAGTGACAAGAAAACAACTCCAAAAATCTTTTTCGTAGCCCAAGCATTGGAAGGATCCACTCCTTGTATTAATTATGTTCATGGTCAATCCTTACTAATCTCTGGACAACCTTAAGTCAGCTCCATGACAACAAGGATTCTAAGTAATTAAGTTTTCCAACCCTACTTAGAGGATATAGTAATGTGAAAGGACATAAAAGACTACCTTCGACGTTGGCGAATTGCTTCTCTTTCCTCGAAGGTGCTCTTAGGATCATAACAACCAAGAAGAAACTCCCACACTTCTCCTCTAATGGCAGGATGGATCCCCTGTATTAGGTGGAACATTTTAAAAAGAAAAACTTTATTACTAGACCTTTGAACATCATTTTCCAAACATTTTATTGCAATCTCCATTCATGTTTTCTTGAACATTTATAACCTTGCCAAAGAACAAACTATTACACTATTAAACGATCATAGAGATTAAAAGCAAATTCAGTTATCAATTAGCAGAGAAAGTTGACCAACTGCTAAAGAGTGTATTAACCACCCAAAGCTAGAAGTAGAACACCATTTCAACAATATATATGGAATCATACTCCTGAAACAGACTTTAACCATGAAACTGAACTTACCCCACGATGGATGCGATTTAGAGTCTTTGATATGTCCAGTTCCCCTTCTGGTGTAAAAGCAGCTTGCCATTTTCTTACACTTAAGGTTTTCCCAGCCTGCATGAAACTTGAATTATCAACTCTAAAAGCGACAAATGGTTTTCAAATTGGAAAGCTTAGATAGATAGGATATTTAAAGTCAAATGCATAAGAAACATGGTGAGAAAACTAGTTTAGTAGGACAAATAAACCTCCGAAGGAAGTGGTTTTAGGTACAAATAATTCATGGAGGAAATTAATCAGCAGGCAACACCATTCCCATCTTCCTGTCCTAAGGAGAACCTAAACCTTTTTGGCAAGGAGATGATTTTGTTTGAAGACCTAAATGTTTGCTCACTCAGGCTACCAGTTCTTTTAGCCTGAATACACTAATGGTCAAATGATCAACCAAAGACTCAAGTACAAAAAATCTGCCATCGCCTGTTGAATTTGAAATAAGTTTTAAAGATCACCAGCATGACCACGCCTAAATCAATCAGAATGGACCTAAACTAAATAAGACTGCCTGTTTTAGCATATCAAGGCTTTCAAGTTTCGACCATCAAGATAAAAAGCAATTTGTGCAAGTTGAGCGATGACCCATCAAAGTAAACCCCTCAAAACAAATAACCCTGCAATTTGTGCATTGCCAAACGTGTTGGAGATTCACTGAAGGGAAAAAGAAAACAGACCCTGATCTTGAAGCGGGTTTTGGGAACATCGGTGCACTCAGGGCGGACCTCATAGAAAGAATCAGCAGGAGCTCCAGCGTCTCTCCACATTCCCACAAGACACCGAAATCACTTCCCAAAGAGATGATAAAAAATAAATTTGTAACTAAAATTACAACAAACCCCAAATCAAGAAATCTGCAACCCCGAGAGCTGATCAAACCCCAAGAAGAAGAAGAAACAAAACGAACAAAAAAAAATCAAGAAATGAAGAAAAAAAAGAAGAGAATCAAACACCCAGAAGAGAAAAATTGAAAGGGGTTCCCGGGGGTGTGAGGCTGGGTAAGAGATCCAGCTCCAAATAACCAGCTAGAAATCCCAAAAATAAATATACACCAACAACAACAAAAAGAACAGCTAAAAGGGGGTGGGGAGAAAATTAGAAAAACAAAAATAAACAAACAAATAAAAACCTATAATAATTATTATTATAATTATAATTATAATTATAATAAAAAAGGAAAATTTTGTTTTAATTTGTGTTAATTTGTGTTTTTTAAGAAAGAAGTCGTGGGGTGGTTGTTAATGGTGGTGGTGTTCTTGCTCCGTCAACGCCTCTCGTTTTTGCCTCTCAACAGTGGCCGTTAAATGCGTTATTAAATTCAACATCCAAAAATTACTCTCTTCTCTACGATTACTGGTTACTGTTATTTACCCAATTTAACTGTTTTTTTGGTCTTCGTTTGGGGTCTTTCTTTTTTTCCGTATTTCTGTTTTTTGGGTAAATTAATTTATCCGCTTTTTCTTTTAATCTTTTTTTGCCCTTTTTTTACGGTGGAGGAAAAATTAATGGAGGAGCCACAAAACGACAAGAGGGTAAATTTTTAAAAATGTTAGGCATGTCCTTGCCACGCGCTCTTCGATTTGTTTGTGGTTTACGCGCTGTGAAAATTCCACGATGTCGTTGTTGACTGAGTCCAACTTGACTGGACCAGAGTTGTTGACTTTGACTCTTCGGCTATGGGCTCTGCTGGGCTGGGCCTTCGGACAAAACTGGTTGGTCCACAACTAGTCTCTTGGATATTTAGGCCCAACTTTGTCTTTTCAGATTAATGGGTGTTTTTTAAATGGATCTCTTAAGAATGATGTATTTTTAAACGGTAAAAATACGGTCCGTGAGTTGGAGGATAGGTTTCTATTTGGTCTCTAAATTTTATAAAGTAACAGTTTGATCCCCGATCTTATGAAAATAGTTCTAAAAGGTCCTTGGGTGCTAAAATTTCATTCATGTCATTAACGGAATGCTGACCTGGCGATGAATTGATAATTTAAATAATATTTATTAATTTTATATCACTTTTTGTTAAATTTTCTTTACTTTTCTTCCTCCCTCTTCCTTCCTCCTTTCCTAAAACTCCATTATTCCCCTTCAATTCCATCGCCCAATTCCTCCAACGAATCCGCGCCCGTCACATCTTTTGTGACAAGAGTCACAGTGAGGCCAAAAAACACCCACGCACTCACCAGCAACAGGCTTAGAACACCAAGCCCACAAACCCATAAAACCCAATCCCTCCTTCGTCGCTCCTAGAGAGCACCAGCCCCTATCTCTTCGCTAATTGAAACGAGCTTGTTGGAGAAGATGGATTACAAAAGGGAATAATGTGGGATGTGTTGGAATTAATTTAATTGATTCCATTAAATGGGTAACAATTTATGATAAATTAAATGTACTACTATTCATGGGAAAAATAAGTGATCTAATAAACTTCCTATATGTGGTGTGGCCCGCTGGGCAGATACCAGCCCGTTGATCCTAGGGGATTATGGGAAACCCTAGAATCAACTTATAAATACAAGGTTATGGTCTCCAATATACTATGCTTCTTTAGTCTCCTATTCCCCATCCAATAGAGAGTATTGTCCATCTTTGATCTAAGGTTGCATAGTTGAGGAAGACTCAAACCAAACCACGCTGATATTGTTACAGGAATTTGTAATCTCTACTCATGCATTCAGGTAATTCGAAATAACTTATAGTTCTTTAGCCTACTCCCATGCATAGATCTTATATAAAGTTTTTGTTTTCTAACAAGTGGTATCAGAGCTTGATTTGCATGGTTGTTTGCTAAATATTTGATTGTTGTTTATGAATAAATTTGTTGGTTTTCCCTATAGTCAAATTTATTATTAAACAGCATAAATTATTAGAACTATTTAGATTGATTAGTTATTGGACAATTTTGAATAATTTAATTTGAAAGTCGTCTGAGTTTATTGATTTGATGAAGTTTGATATATTTATTCTCCCCAATATTTTCCAAATCGATCGTATTATAATCAATTCAGTTATTGTTTTAAAAAAAATCAAAGATGGGCGTGAAGATTCAATTTAATAAAGAAAGAAATTTGTTTTTAGAATGGCACCTGGGTTGATTCAATTAGAAAGAGAGAAAGAAAATAGAAGGAAAAAAAAAAGGAATGCGGAGGAGTGCCGCCATGAGTCTGTTGTGCTAGGTTTCACTCTAGCACAAAGTGATATTTAAATTTTTTTCCCTCCTTTTCCTTTTCTTTCTCTTTATTTATTTTTATAAATATTCTTTATATTTATAATCTATAATAAATTTTTGGGCATAAAAGTATGGAGGACATTTTTTTATTACTTTTTTATTGTGCTAATTAAAGGTTGACTATTACGATGAATAAATTTATATTTAATTTATTGGTAGCACAATTTGTCTAATTTCTTTAAATGTTTTGATGCGTGAAATATGATACCAAAGTAGTCTATATTTTATAAATTGGAACATTTAAAGTTCTTAGATGTAGTGTATTTCTTGCTTATGCGGATTGTGATCGGCCTAAAGGAAGGTTGCAATTTGGGCAGACAACAAATACACATGCAATAATAAATATGGATAACATAAGGTTGTGTCTTTGAAGTTGTTAGTCGGCCCAAAGGAAGGCTATCATCTAAAAGAAATGAGTTATTAATGTTTTATATTGTACTGAGAGTATCACTAGCAAATTAACATTTTTTTGTCCAAAGACTGAATGTAAATGTTGCATTAGGTATCTCACTTGTCTTCATAAAGTTTATTTAGAATGTCATGAATATTTATATATATCTGTGTGACATTACTTACTATATTGAGCTTGTGTTCTTTATATAGTTAAGGTTGCTAATTCTGATAATATGTCCACTCAAGTCAACAACATTTCTAGACTGAATGGGGCTTATTTTAAGGACTGGAAAGAAGACATCCAGATAGTACTTGGGTGTATGGATTTAGACCTTGTATTAAGGGTAGACTGTCCTACTTCAACTGAGGAAAATCCTAATAAGGTTGAAATTGAGAAGTGGGATAGGTCTAATCGCATGTGTCTAATGATCATGAAGCGCTCAATTCCAGAAACATTTAGAGGCTCTATTGTTGAGGGAACGAATGCCAAAGGCTTTCTAAAGGAAATGGAGCAGTACTTTACCAAAAACGATAAGGCAGAAGCGAGTACCCTTATGGCAAAACTCACCTCTTCAAGATACGTTGGTAAAGAAAACATAAGGGAATACATAATGCATATGTCAAATGTTGCAACAAAACTTAAGGCATTGAAGTTGGAAGTTTCTAAAGACTTTTAGTGCATTTAGTTTTGAACTCTCTTCGAGCAGAGTGTAGCCACTTCAGGGTGAGTTACAACACTCAAAAGGATAAATGGTCCCTGAATGAGCTAATCCCTCACTGTGTTCAAGAGGAAGAGAGGATGCAGCGAGAGAAGACAAAAAATGTTCACATGGCTTCTACCTCAAAGAGTGTAAAGAGGAAGAGAGTGAATAATGCTGCTGAATCTTCTAAGCAGAAAAAGGAAAAGAAACAGGTTTCAGGACCTGCTTGTTTCTTCTGTAAGAAGACTGGACACATGAAAAAACAATGTGCCACATATGCTGCATGGCTATTGAAGAAGGGTATGTTTCTCTCCCTTGTTTGTTCTGAGATTAATGTAGCTTCTGTACCTATGCATACGTGGTGGGTAAATTCAGGTGCTACTACTCACATAAGTGTATCTATGCAGGGTTGCATTTGGAGCCGACAGCCAAGTGATGCTGAGGCTTTCATCTACGTGGCTGACGGCAAAGTAGAAGCAATAGGAACATTTATATTATCTTTAGAAACTGGTTTTCATTTGGATTTGTTTTCATTTACATTTATAAATTAAATGTAGTATTATTCATGGGAAAAATAAGTGGTCTAATTAGGGCCCATAAACTTCCTATAATGTGGTGTTGCCCGCTGGGCAGATACCAGCCCGTTGATCCTAGGGGATTATGGGAAACCCTAGAATCAACTTATAAATACAGGGTTATGGTCCCCAATATACTATGCTTCTTTAGTCTCCTATTCCCCATCCAATAGAGAGTATTGCCCATATTTGATCTAAGGCTGCATAGTTGAGGAAGACCCAAACCACGCTGATATTGCTACAAGAATTTGGAATCTCTACTCATGGATTCAGGTAATTCGAAATAACTTATAGTTCTTTAGCCTACTCCCATGCATAGATCTTATATAAAGTTTTTGTTTTCTAACAGGATGGGCTTGGTGCCCTGGCGAGGAGGTGGGTTTGAGGACTGATTGTCGGGCAATTGAGAGGTGGTGGTCCGCATTGGGTGGAATCGACACAATTTCAGGAGCGAATTGAAGAGGGAAGATTGAGGAGTGAAAATGGAGAAATGGAAGTGGTGGGGAAGAGTGAAGGAGTATATACGAGATCAAGCAGGAGGAATTGGGGGAGAAGGAAAAGGAAAATGATAGAGAATGTGAAATGGATCGTGGGCACCAGAGGAGAGAAATGCGAGAATAGGGAGAAAACGAGGAGGTAGTGGAGAGGGATTGGAGGGCAAAACTTCCATTTGAAGATGGCAGAGAGAAGTAAGTGGAGTAAGGGAACCCGTAACGGTGGAGGAGAAGAGGAGGGATGGAAGTAGGGTGTTCACGGTTTGGATTGGGTCGGGTCAGGTAATTAGGGGTGTTTTTGGGACGAACCAGAATTTTTCGATT